AGACGCAAACCGTGAGCACACGCTCTTAATAAGCCATCCCCAGCAGCTCTCCTCTTTGACTGTTCTGTTACAAGACAGAGACACTCTGCGTTAAGCTTACACCAGAAAAAAAAATAAAGATCTTTGGCACAGTTGTGGAGGCAAGACAGTCGTACGGGCAAAGCACAACATCAGGAGTTGCACTTCACGCTGTCAAAACAGTGTTCTGGACTGGCTTTTCCCAGGCTACACCTGGCATCACACCAGGAATGTCCCAGCCTAACTATTTGTTACTGGAAAGTGTCAAGTGGAGACTTGGTCCAGCAGTGGCCATTACCATTGGCTGTTCAGTAGTGACAAATAAAAAGCAAACACAAGTTTAAATAGCAAGCTGGAATTTTCTGTGAGTTAGCAAGAGAAAAGTGGCAAAAATAGTGCATTTGCTGCTGTTCGACCCACTGTCTCCAGGAGTCCTTTTGTCTGGGTCATGTTGGCCAACACCTTTCACCTCTTCCAGGACTCTTGCCAACAGCAATGCCATGCTCTGGGAGACTTCCTGGGGCAGGACTGATTGATGATAATCCATCTACTTCTTATTTTACTATAATAACTCCCCTTTTTGAGTTTCTTCAGGTTCTGAGCACCGCTGCCAAGGAAAAGTGGTATGTAGAAATGGAGAGCTGATGACGGTCCATAAAGCAGTACTTTCTGTAAACTGAAAAAGAGGCAGAAACAGGAAAAACATCTGAACTAGGGGAGCACACGGTGCCAGAAGAGAAAAAGCCAAGGAGTCTGGAATACAGCAGTCTGGGGAGCTTGTGCACTGCAGAGACAGAGAAGGAAAGCAGAGCCAGCCACTGCAAAGCCCAAAGGAAGCAGAGAGACCACTGGGGAAGCAGCATTCTGCAGAAAAGCAGATCCAGCAGGCTCAAAAAGGAAGTGACAGAAAAGTCTAATGAGTGGCTATGGGTGAAGTTTGTACGGGCAGCTCGACATTTTCAGTCTAACTCTCGATTAACATCATTCTCTTTCTTTAGAGGAAGGAAAATGAGTATCAGAAATATGGAGTGACTGCTAGAGACATCAACAGAAAAAGCATTGTGTAGCTCTTGGTCCCGACTACTAAGTACTAGCTATAGATCTGGCAAACGGAGACAGCAGTGAATCATTGTATCTTCAAGGTAAAGCAATTTTAAGGCTCAATCTCATCACCTGGAAGCAAGGCAGAAACCCTGGGAAATAAATCTCATGAAACTTCTTATGATGCTGTGAAACTGAATTGATCTCAGCATCTTTAGTTTTTCAGTTACCAAAATGAACCAGACCACATTCCAGGAGAGGCATGAAAGAAGCAATGGAGCAGTAGAAGATGTGTATGGTTGGTTATATGCAGCTCTGTGTAAGCTTTTGGAATGAATTGCCAGCCACTCTTCAGTCTATGGGAGCTTGGCCAGGATTTTTATAAGGCCAAAACATGTAATGGGTCTGAAGTCTTTCTGCTCACACGACAGTCTCTCAGCAAGGCTTCAGAGAGCTCCCAGGACTAGCCTCAAACAAAACACCAAACAAGTAGCAAATAGCAGGGGTCTGACAAGGAGACCTGAAGCTTTTCCCTCCACAACTAAGTCGCCTTTGGCACTGGAATAAAAGTAGAGGAAACAAGCATTTTTCTGCTTGTGGACCTTTCCATTCTTCTGTAAGGACCTGAAGAAGGTGTAACTCTAAGGACTGAAAGCCACATTGTTTGAGAAAAGTACAGCAAGGGAAGTTGGTCTGCATCACGAAGTTACGGCAAGATAGTTGTGAGCAGGAAACCATAGGGTGAGCCTGTGTATTCACTACCCTTATGTCACAGAAATGTGCATTTGCGTTTTCTCTGTTACCTTTTCTCTCATTTGAATACAGTTCCTTCCTCTTTCAGCGTAATTCGGAGTTTCTGGCTAGTTTTATTCAAATAGCTGTGTCATGAGTTCTGGCCTCGTCATAGATTTTCCTTGCTACCTGACCTTGTATCACAGGGTCACACAGAAAGGACAGAGTTTGTCACCACAGGACTGTGTGAGATAACAGCATGTTTCTGGCTTTCCTGCTGCCACTTGCAGGCATGACATTAGCATTGAGCTGGCATCAGGAGAGCCAAACAGATGATCATTTCTTTTCTGCTCCCCACAAAAGGCCTGATGCAAAACTCAACGGAATTGGTGGAAATATAAGGGGCTTTGGCTCAGGCCCAGAAAGACCAGCCAGGAATAATGCTGAAAATGTATCTGGAGCTGAGACGGTACAAAGGGACTAATCTTAGTCACCTTCCTCCAGCAGCAGGCTCGGTTTGATTTGAATTGGCTAGCTTCGGCTGTGAATTAAGCTCAAAGCCCCAAAGGCAACTTGATTCTAGTCATCTAGCCTTGCAGCCTCCTCCAAACTCAATCCAGAGGGAAAAGTGACTAATCCTATTCAGTTTCTACAGTGAGCTAACGCCATAGATTAAAAAAGCTTGGGGCACAGGGAAAGCGAATAATCTGGGTCAGTTTTTCTCTGCAAGTCCTTCACACAACTTGGTAAAAAAAAAAAAAAAAAAAAAAAAAAAGTAAGGAGACAGTGGGAGGAAGCACTGATAAGAAGGAACGCTTGCCTGATAAAGTGTGTACACTTCACAGGAAAGAAACAGAAACAGACGAGTGAGGCTGTTTCAAAATTCCCAAGGTGGAAAGAGATGTGATTAGAGGAGCTGGTTCACCTATTTGCTGGAAAAGGGATCATATTCTGCCCTCTTTCCCAGGTCTTCAGTGTCTATGCAGGAGACTGAGAGAATAATCATGTGTGGGAGCAAGACAAGCTGCAAAAATATCTCTGGGCACAAAAGTTGGCTCCTTGACTCCCTTTCTCTCCACGGCTTTGGGTATGGCATGGCTAGCACAGGAGAGGTGAGTCATAAAATGGGAGTTGCCACTGTAACAGCCGCACAAGTGAGGACATTAGTAAGTCCTTTCAGAGAATGCATTTTTGGGTAGGCTTCAAAGTAAATAACCACTGGTGCTGGTTATCGTGCCACTTTGAACAGGATAACCAGGGATCATCTGGTGCAGAAAAGGTTGGTCTGCAGATAACCCCCTAACAAGGTTATTAACATAAAAAAAGTGTGTGAGATTTTGTAACAACCTTTCCATTTTCCTTACACCCTATTCGAGAAGTGGAGGGCTTTCATTATTAATATCAGTTGTCTCACTTGACTTTGGTGCAGGTTTCCTGTGATGACAGGAAAGGGCTGGAGGTTTTAGTGAAAGTGAAAAGTTTTTGTTTTTAAAAAGCTGTTCCATAAGCAGTGATATTTGTGAAGCCTGAAAATTTGTGTCCTCTCGTCTCCCACACTTGTCACCCGGTGTGTACCACCATACCACCAGCAGCATCCTCCAAAGCCCCCAGGCTAGTTAGGAGGATGCTGACACCTTGAAGTGTTAAGTATATAGGAGCTGAATTTGGCCCCCCTTCATCAACAAGGGGCACTAAGTGATCCAGATCGTCCTCATTTATCACAGTGCCAGTTTTCATTATTTTTTTTTAATTCTTTTGAGGCCAGACATGCTGAAGCTCTACATTTAGTGGAGGAAAAGATGACCACAGCTTCACAAGTGTCATTCCCATAGGTGAAACTAGATAGGTTGGCTCTGCTAGCAAGCTGCTTTTGGAGGAATATTCACCATGTCCTAATATGTGATACCAGAGGTAAGAAAGACTGAAGACAGTTAGGAAACAGACAAACAAACAAACAAAATAACCACAACAGTAAGTGTGAAACTGCAGTGGAATTACTTCTTTTATCAGCGTGACTCTTACAATGTCATTGGGGTGTGTGCCCTGCACTGTTCAACCACATGAGAGACTGGGCAGCAAGTTTGTGGGGAGTATCAATAGTTTTGGGATTAACTACTAGAAATGTAAGGAAGGGTGGCCAAAGGAAAGGCTGTGGCCACTCAGGCAGTCCCTCCAGCATCTCTAGCTTGAGGATTACTGGGTGGAGATGGTAAAAGCCCAGTGCCACAACCAGCCCCCTGTGGTTAGTCACAAAAACGTGAAGCTACAGCCTCTTGGAGGAAAGGTTCAGCATCCCCTTGAGCTGGCCCAAACACCCCTTTCCTTGAGGTCCCAAGTGTCCCCCAAAGACGTAACAGGTATTCATCACCCAACCCAAACTTTAGGGTTTTCTCCCCACTCAAAGCCTTTGCCTCAGGCCTTGCTGGGCCCTCATGGCACCCCATGGACATCTTGGTGTGTGGGGCTAGCCCCAGCAGCTCTGGGTGACAGGTCCCACAGTGTCACCCGTGGGCTGACAGCCTGGGCTTCACACCTCAGCACCACCAGCACCACCACCATCCCTGTCCCACCCACCACGATGCCATGAGGCCGGGCACCCCTTTGCCCCCCCCATTTTGTCACGTAGTCCTTTGGCCCTGCTCGGCTCCTGCAGCCCGCTCCGGGGTCCTCCAGCAGGAGGAACGACGGAAACACACAGTCCTTTTAATTATTATGATGCTTGGCAGTGACAGCCATTGTATTTTTGGCTGCTGAACCTTGCCGGGCAATTCGATACGGGATCCCTCGACAGGCGGTGGAAAGCAGCGGCACCAAGCCAAGCTCACCCCGGGGGCAGCCGGTGGGCGGCCGGCTCCCCTGGCCCGCTCGGCAGCAGCTCGGGCAACCCCGGGATGAGCCGTGGTAGCCCACTGGGCCGGCACCGCCATCCCAGGGGCAGAGAGCGGGGGATGGACGGCCAACATTTTGGGGGAGAAGAGTAAAAAGCCTCGGAAATACAATACAACAGCACCCCAGCCGGCTGAACGCCGCTGCGCCTTCCGCACAGGCAGGCTCCCCACTAGGGGACTCGGGGAAAAATATATATATAAATATATATATATATATATATATATATATATACACACCCCTAATACTTTTACCTTTGGCAAAGTGAGGGGTTTTTTTCTCGCTGTCGCTGCCAAGCCCCGAGCCCAGGATTTTGCTTCCTCTCCCAGCATGCGTTGATGACATCACGAAGTGCCCCTTCTTTGTGTGTCAGTGATGTCAGCGGGCGCAGCGTGGGGGACAATGGAATCCTGAACTCCGGGCGAGGGCGAGAGGGAACTGCTGCTGCTGCTGCTGCTGCTGCTACAGGGGGGGCCAAGCCAGGGAGGGAAGGGGAGACACAGCTGCTGCTTTGGGGCTGGAACAGGTGAGAGACGGGAGAGCCGCCGGGGGATCCTTTTGGCTGGCTGGTGGCGGTGGTGGTGGGGGGTTTGGGCTGGGCTGTCTTTTTTTTTTTTTGGTTGGTTGGGGTTTGGTGGTTTTTGTTGTTTTTTTCTTTTCTTATTGCTTTCCAACTGAGACAGGTGAGAAGTTACTGGTGCTGCTGGAGGGACAAAGCAGGTGAGGCAGGGGAGAAGCCTCGGGGCTGAAACAGTTCTGAGGACAGGGGGGGAAGCCCAAAGCCCCCCCACGAGCCTAAACAGCCCCCTCTCCGCCTTAAAAAAAAAGCAGCCCTGGGAGCCTTCCCCTCTCCCAGCCACCTGCCTCGACCTCGTCCCTTTGGGGCACTCAGCATGGAAGCGCAAACCGGAGCGGGGGAGGGCGATTATCCCCCACCCCCCCCCAGGACTTGACACCTTCGCAGATGACTTTCCAGAGGGGGTCCCCATTAACAGCTCAGCCCCCTCCGATCGCCTCCCTTCCTCCCCCAGCCCCCCCCCGGAGGCAGGGGGGTGCCGTGTCCGCCGGGCTCCCCCCGCAGCCCCGCAGCCGGGGCTCCCCCCGCCCTCCCCCCGGGACCCCCTTGGGCTGGAGGCCGCGGAGGCTGTCGCCCCGTGCCCGCCGCCCCCCCGGCCCGGCTCGGCGGTGGGGGAGGCAGGCAGGGAAGCCATTGCCTGTTTAATAGTTGCTGTTGCAGCACTTCCGCTTCTCTCCCAGCGAGAGAGACACGAGTGGCCAGGCCCAGCCGCACCGAGGAGGAGCAGCCAGACACAAAGGCAGAGGTACGGGGACGGGGCGCCCCCCGCCGCCCTCCCCGCCGGCCCCGGGGGCAGGGGCGAGGGGCAGGGCCGGCCGCGGACCGCCGATGGGGCGGCAGGCGGCGGGGCAGGGGGGGCGCGCCGGGGGCTGGCAGGTAGCGCTGCCCCCCCGGCCCCCCGCTGCAGGGGGAGCACGGACGAGCCCCCCCCCGCTCCCCATACCCCGGGGGGGGCTCCCCGGGGGCTCCCCGGGGCGCCGGGGGCAGCGGGAGGGGGGCGGCCCTGCGCCGGCCCCCGACCCTCCCCGCGCCCCCTCCGCAGCCCCCCAGCCCCGCCTGGCTGTGCCCCCCCGTGTCCCGTATCCCCCTCGTGTCCCCCCCGTGTCCCACCCCGACGGCTTCTCGCCCCCCGGGGCCGGGCGCTGCCTCCAGCCCCGCGCCCCCCCCGGTGCCCGCACGGAGCCGGGGTGCCCCCCCCCCCAGCACCCCGCTGCTCCCCGAGCCCTCGTTTCGCACCCTGCTAGGCCACGGCCCTTTTTCTCCCCTCCTGCCCCCTGCCCCACAGCGTGGTGGGCCTCATGGGGCCCCTCGGGGTCCCCAAACCCTCCCGTGTGCTGTCCCTTTGCCCCCTCCCCATACCTTCCCACCCAGTGGGTGCGGGTTTCCCCCCGCCACAGCTCAGGGACCCCCCGTCGGGGTCTCCCCCTGTTGCAAGTGATGCCCCACTTCCATTAGGGTGCTGGCGAGATGGTCACCCCCCGGCCCGTCCCTCCCCACCGGCCTCCAGGGAGCCCGAGCGGTGCCATTTTTATCCCCTGCACCCCTAGGCTGGGTGGCAATGGCTCCTCTCGCTCGTGCGGTTTGGGGGAGATTACAAGGAACTGCTGTGAGCGCTTCCCTGATCCTTGCAGTCGTCCTTGTTCCAGTCCCTTCTCTCATTTCGCACTTGCTTCCCGAGAGGAAGCTTTAAAAGTCCCTTTCTCCCTTCCCCGTGGCATTAGTAGCGCAGGGGGGGCTGCTGCTCCTCCCGCCTGGCTGTAGGGCCTGAGAGGAGGAGAGGGAGACACGGGGACCCTTTAAAGGGAGCATGACCCAAACACAGAGCGAGATTGTCAGCTGCCTTTCTCTGTGTGTGTTTGTGTTCACTGTTTGTTCCCCGTGCCCCGTGGTGTCTCCTCTCCAGGTTGGGGTGTGTGGTGGGGGGGTCGCTATGTCGGATGACGATTCGAGGGCCAGCACCAGCTCCTCCTCATCTTCATCCTCCAACCAACAGACAGAGAAAGAGACAAGCACACCTAAGAAGAAGGAAAGCAAAGTCAGCATGAGTAAAAACTCTAAGCTGCTATCTACCAGTGCCAAGAGGTGAGGCTGCAGTCGGTTTTCTCACCAATTCACTGCATCCTCTCTCCTTCCTCGTTTCATTTTGCTCTGTTCCCCTGCTGATCTCTTGTTGCTCCCATTCCTCCTCTCTCGCTTACTCACAGCCTTCCCGTGCGAAGCTGCCATTGTCTCACTTTTCCAGCGCCTCTGTGCAGTGGTGTGTGCCCAACTTCACTGCTCTCTGGTCTCTCTTCCTGCTTCTCCCTCCATTCTATCCCACATATTTTCCTGTCTCTTCTTCCTCCGGGCTGTTTTTCTGCCCCTCAATTATTTCTGCTGTCTCTTCCCTTCTCCTTATTAGCATCAGCTATAGGGATGTGGGATTGGTATGTAGGGCCTTCATTCCTTCTCTGCCACTGGAAACTATGTGGTCCTGGGTAAAGCATTAAATTTCAACGTCAATTTCCCTCTCTGTGTATTGGGATGGATGTATAATGGCTTTTTTCTTTCCAGCGCTGCTTTGAGGATTAATTAATGTTTGTGAGGAGTTTTGAGTTTGCCTGATGAAAGGAAGATTTGGGGCCGTATTACACCATTCACACTGAAGTGTGAGTGGTGTAATATAACCCAAACCTTTCCCACTATACATATTACTGCTTTTCTGTTTGTTCATCACTTATATTGAATTTTCTGTGTATGGCTCGACATTGACTAAAATAAATAATCCACCGTGGGTCCACTTGTGGATGTTCTACTCTAAAATAGTTTTTGCTTACAGGACAGAGTGGGTTTTTTCTTTGGTTGGTTGTTGTTTTTTTTCTTTGAGAATGAAATCGTTTTTATTCCAGAATAATATCTATATGGGGGAGAGATGCCTGCATAGAGTAGTAATTCCAGAACAGCTACGTCAGTCAATTTTCTTCATCTGGACAGACTCTTGGAGCCATTTGGTTTAAAAAAAGAAAAAAAAAAAAAAAAGCTGTTGCCCTTTCTTATTTATTCTCTCTTTCACCTGAATTCAGCACTGTCCTGCACCAGAGAGCTCAGCCAACAAATGGAAGTTTGCGAGCTAACTTAGAGCACTTCAGTAAGAATAATAAACCAGCTCTCTGAAACGCCTTGCCAAGCAGCACAGAGAGGTTATGTCTCTAGGTGTCAAAAGTGGCTGGGGTTTTATGCAAATGCCCTGTCGTCACAGCTAAGTTCTCTGTGGCTTTGTGGAGTTAAGGCAGTGAGGTTATTCCAGATCCCCGCTCAGCATGTTTCCATGGCAAGCTCAGAGATAGTAGCAAGCGGTGTTTATGTGTCGTGCCCTTAACTATTTTAAAAAAGAAGAGAGTTTTACAAGCCTGCTGACTGTAAACTGCCTGGTATGAAAAGGTTGTGGTTCGCGTGTATGACAAGTGGAAGAGAGGCCGAAGATGCTGGCTGAGTTTAAAGGAGGGGAGAGGGTGGGGAGATCTGGAGGGGAAGCTTGAGTGACAGTAATGGGACCCCAGGGAAAGGGATGATAGCTGGTTGGGCATCTTGTGGCAAAAGCAGCGTGCTGCTGTGTGAGCCCGGAATAGTCTGGGCAGGGAGGGCAGGGTGTTGTCTGAGCCTGGCGATGAGAGGGAGCGCCTGGAGTCCTGAGGGGAGGGACTCGGGGCTGTGGTGTGGAAGAGGGAGAGCTGAAGGTGGCAGGAATGTGCAGGAGCCTTGGAAGTGGATGTTCCCTTTCCTTTAGGCGTCCTTGGGAATGGCAAAGCTCCTCACTCCCGTGGGGCTGCTGTTTGTTCTCGGGGGTGGCGGGGAGCCAGGGGAAGCCAACTTGGCGATGACTGCTGCTTGCAATCCAGCAAGACAAATTTCCTTCTCAGACTACGGTTTCCTCATAGCACTTGGTGCGCTACATTTGCAGAGGGTCCCCTCCACTTTCAAGCTGGCCAGCAGAGTAAAGGGGAGAGTCTTTGTGGAAAAGCCCTGTGTGGCTGGCATCTCCGTGCGAGTGTGCAGCGGTGCTCCTGTCTGGGCTCAGCACACGATGCCTGCCTGCTTTCCTGTCCCTGCACCAGGCTGTCTGTCCTCCTTGGTGTGAGTGGGCCAGTGGGAGGCTATAACCGAGCGCCTCTCTCGTACGTGGTATTGCAAACGTAATGCGGCCGTATGTCTGTAAGGCGTATGTGTTAACTGCTGCCCCGCACAGCGACTTACCTTTGTTCCTTCTCGCTTTTATTGCCACAGGATTCAGAAGGAATTGGCTGACATCACCTTAGATCCACCTCCCAACTGCAGGTTGGTGCCGATGCCGTCCTCGGGGAGGGCGGGGGGAAGGAGAGGGGCTGAAGTGTGCTTGTGCTTGTTGTAGTTGTCCTTGGAGGTTCTGGATCGAGCAGAGGAACGGCTGCGTAGCTGACGGTGCTTTTGTGAATGCTTGGATGATATTAAATAGTTTCCAGGTGGGGGGGGTGACACCTCCAGAGATTGTTATGCGTGTGTTGATACGTGTTTTCTGTCTGCTAGGGGGTTGTTTGGGTTTTGTTTTCTAACAATTGCATTTTTATCTGTCAGACTGCTTCGTGTGTATGTTTCTGAAACTGGCCTATAAAGAAGAGTGTGAAAACTCTCTTCTTGATTTTTTTTTTTCCTGTTTTCTAAGTCTAATGCCTGACTGCACTGATCTGATATAAATTAAAGTCCTGCTAAGGAAGCAGAAAATAGTAAAATGCTATGAGCTTTTTAGCTCAGAGTTGTGATTTAACCAGTAACTTACAGTGAAAGAGAAGCGTGAATTTGTCACTCGGTGGGTGCCCTACAGAAGCATGCATGTTAGCTGATGAAATAACAAGCGGGGCTGTTCGGCTGCCCTTTATAGAGCAGCTCTTTTTTAAGTATGTTTTAGAAACGTGTACCTTTTGTTTAAAGCTTCTAGCAGGTTGATTCAGTGGCCCGAGCCTCATAGCGTTCGGGGAGGAGACAGTAGTAGTGTAACATCCTCGGTTGTGCTTGTTCATTCAAGAGGAAAGTCGCTTTCAGACTGGGTTGTGTTCGCTGCTGTTGCCAAAGCACAACTCTGTTCCTATCTCCGTGCTGTGCCTGAACTGGGTTTGAGGCCTTTTGATGTTGGTAATAGCAGCAATCAAAGGAAATTCTGTGTATAAATAACTATTTAAGTTGGCCTCTTTAGTACTGAGTTGTCACCCACAAATGCACGTGAAGCTTTTTATTGAAGCTTTCTGCTGCTGTTAGTCTGCGGGGCAGCACTGGCACAAGAGTTAGCCTCTGTCACTACCAGGCCCGAGGATCGTAATTAGTTCAAGCTGGGATGGGATGGAGCATGTGGGTACAGGAGAAGTATAGGCTGATATTAATTTTTTTTTGCTGTTTGGAAGATAACTGATGGGTTCTGAAACCTCTAGCTATGACAATACTGTTTCAGTGACATTAATGACTGCCTGAGTATTAAAAGAGCTTCCAGCTGGTGGGTTGGAAGCGTCTGTCCTGTCTGCATCCTGACTCTGTCAGGATGAAGTCCGCATGCTTCCCCCTCCTCCTCCCACCATATCCTGATGTTCGTGGGAAAGAAACCCAGAAGCATGGCTCAGAAAGGCACGGAGCCTGCCTCGCTGTGTCAATAAGCGAGCCTGGATGATCAAGGGGCCAGGACTGCAGTCTGAATTTAGTAAATCTGCCCAAAAGCTGTGATTATGTACAAGTATGTCAGACTGCAGGCTTCATCTGAAGGTTTGTGTAAATAATATTAGCATCCTGATTTGTCCCTGTTTCAGTTGGCACCATTCACAGGTAAAGAGGAGCTAGCAGACTACCTGTCAAAATAGAATATGGTTGTGAATTTTGTTATTAATTACATTGACATCTGAGGATAATGCACTTCAAGGCCTGCATAGTAAGTTCGTCTTGTTTCAGTCTTTGTAAATATTTGTAATCGTAATGATTAGTTCATAGTGCAGGTAGTGATGATTAGTTCTCACCCCTAATGTAGTTGTAAGTATCCCACATTCCTTCCAGCCTCCCAATGAGTGACAGTGAAGGTGGCAACTGTTACAGATAACGCATGAAACTGGCGTAACTGGTGTAATTGTTACTGTATCTTAAGATGTTGATAGGTAGGAAAACATGAATGGAGAGGTTTTTGTCTGCGTGTGACCAAAGGAGTTTTGGTATTGCTCATCTTGGGGTGGAAGCCATCCTACTTCAATAAAGACAGTGCTGAGAGCAAATAATGGCTCTGCTCATGGTTAACGAGGTTCGAGTTGCGCACTCAGGCCCAGGGAGTTTGCTTCTGCAGCAGCTGTTTTGTGAAAGGGTAAGCAGGTGCCGATTGCCACAACAGTGAGATGAGTTTCGGCTATCGCAGTTATGGGGAAAGTTCACCTCTTGTGGAAAAAGAAATAGAAATAGTCAGTTTGTGAGTGTGAGAACGTCGAGCAAGTGAGAGAATCTAGTCGCTGCACGATGTCTGAGGTTGCCAGAATTTGCTCTGGGGATGCCTGCTAACAGCATCGCTGCTCCCCCTCACACTTCATGTCAACTACTAGCATGCTGTGAGTGAGGAATTAAGTACATAGTTTTGTACCTTACTTTCAATTTCCCTCCTTCCTAACCTCACCTTTACTTTGACCTCAAGCCCCTCATCCCTCTGCTGCGTTTGTGCTTCTACACATTTTTTCAGGTGTCGATGGAGAGAGGGTTTCCTTTTGGTTATCTTACTCTCTTCTGCAAGATTAACCTCAAAACTTAAATATTGAGGGCGCTGCATATGCTACAAGGTACTACCTGTATGCTATCCGCTATAGGGGTGCCAAAGTCTCAGATGTCACCTTCGAAAATGTGTGTCTGAAACTGTATCCTGTGTTATTTTGGAAATGTCATCCTTTTTTTTTTTTTTTTTTTAACCGGCCATTTGGTCTTACAGCCCTGGCCATCTTTCTGTTCTCCCTGTGTTCTGTGCAGAGCCTTGTGTTTGATAGCAGTTTGTGGTTGGCCATGCTTTAATTTTTGGCCTCGCTGCAAAATGCTGTTCTTCTTGCAGTCTTATTGCAGTAATGGGAGTTCAAGATATTTAACGCATCCCAGAGCAACTCTGCATATTGAGAGAAAAAGCTTTAGGTTGTAAATGATTTTTAGTAAGAACTGTTTTCTTTTTCTTCTTATAAAACACCACATATAAGATGCAATTACGAATAATGAAAACCATTTGATATTTCAAACAAAATAGCTTAAAAACAAATGAGTTTCATTTTTATTTTTGTAGCTTGCAGTGACCGTATTTTCATGTGTGTAACCCACAGATCAACTGTTTAAAAAAAAAAAAAAAAGAACACACTCAACACCCTGTGATTGAGCAGCTGTGTGGGTTTTACACACATGTGGGTAATATGAGGGGAAGTTTATCCCAGAACTTCCTCTCCCATCAATAGTTTCCTCGCTTCTGGTTTTCCATAGCTTGCCCCTGTCCCCCAAATGCTTACCTGGTGCTGTTTCAAAATAAGTTTCAGACTTGGAGATATTTTCTAAAAAAGATTTATTTAATATACTTTGCAATGTTGTTGTCAGTGTTCCTGATGGGGTTAATGCTGTTCCCATCAGTGAGCTGGCGTAGTGTGTGTGCAGCATTTGGCTGATTCTGAATGGCTCTTAATTCTTTCTTTATTTTTTCCCCAGTAGATGAGCATTCTAGAGATCCTTAATTTTCTGTTGTCTGCAAGGTGACTTGACTTCTGATATTAATACTAAGTTATGAAAGTTAAATGTGGCTTTCAAATCCAACAGTGGTTAGTGGTTTAGATGAATTGGAGAATAACTGGTTGGACTTCAGACACCTTAAATCTTTCAAGAGGGTACCTGGTGATTTTTTCTACTATTTTGTGCTATATCAGAAAGTTACAGCTCTTGTTGTAGAGCTCAAGGGACCCAGAGACACTGAACCTCTGGTCTTCTGTGTGTGCTGGTGATAGCAGTGCGGTGTGTCTTTGCGTTGGGTCGTGGAAGTCTGTGCCAGCACCTGTCTGCAGGCATCAGGATGCATTTCCACCTCGCTGTGTAGTCAGACCTTATCTCTGTGTGTAGGTAACACTTGTGAGTATTGTGCCAAAGCCTTGGTTCTGTCCTTGTGATGAGGTTTCCAAAGCTTTAACAGAAATTAATTAAAGTTTAAACGCTGCTTATACTCTTTATGTCATTTATTTGACCTCCGTATCAAAGCATTTCCTGAAAGTAAATCTGCTAATTGCTGTGAGGTTATGAAATAAATGTTTTTCCCCGTTTTACAGAAGGGCTCACAAAACCGAGCGACTTGTCCAAGGTCACACAGGAAGTCTGTGGCAAAGTGGAGAAATGAATGTAAATCTCCTTTGTTTCAGGGCTAACTTGCAGCTGAGCTGTTCTGCTCGAACTGTGAGCATCGGTTGTGTTATGAGCAGGGCTTTGAATTTGTGCTTTATTGGGTGTCTGGTATTGACTGTATGTAAGCATGGTAATTTAATGTTATTTTTCCCATCTGTGTAGAGGGACCAAAATGGATATTAACTAGAATTAATGTTTTTAATCTTTCTTACCCAAACTGAAACAAGTTTGTCTCCACATGGCTCATTTAAGTCCACATAGGCAAGACCAGCTGTTACTTAAACAAAAATAATTTTCAAATCTTTACTGAAGGAGACATTTGCCTGCAAGGCTTACCCTCACTTCGGAGTGAAATGCTATCACGGATTCATTATTTAAATAATAATAAAATACAGTTGTGTTTCCTGGCTCCTTCAGCCCAGTTTCTGTAAATTCACAGAATAAGGTCCAGATCTCCCTGAGAGTCTTGTGAAAGTTAACTGTCAGCACTTAATAAATATATGTCTCGGTATAGATGGTGGGGAGAAGTGCTCTCCGCTATAATATTCATAGTTTTCAGGACTTCGCAATGTGGAATTAGGATCTCTTGGCTAGAGAGAGGTCTGCAGAAAACGTGTGGCTCAAAGGCTGTTTTGAACCCAGTTATATCTTATTCTAATTAATATATTTCGTCTACATACTGTGAAAGCCTAGCATTTGTTTTGATCACATTTGTTTTTACAGTGCTTGTAATTTTTTACAAATGTACTTTGTCAATGCATCCAGTGACAATAATGCTTTAAGAGCTTTTGCTTTCAACTTCAGCATATTATCGAAGGATGGATCGTCACTGTTAAATTATAATATTGGGCTTTTAAAATTGTTTTCATGCTTGGAATAGTCCGTCCTGTGCATAGCCACATTCTAGCGTAAACTTTGGGGTCTTACAT